TTTGATTTTTGTTTTATTTGAGAAGTTATGTAAGCAGTTGTTCTCGAGGCAATAAGCAGCCCTAAGCACAGGCTCTGCAGGTCATTTTAGCAGAACTTGCTGTATGTATCCCATTCCCAACTTTGCCAGTGGTCCCTTGAATGTTGCCACATGTGTAGCCACAGCAGGAAGCCGTTCTGTCTGTGACTGTGCTGTGCTCGTGTGGTTTGGATGGCAGGTGTAGAAGGCAGCCTTGGGCCTGAGTTACTCTGTAACATGCTAAAAAGGTTGGGCATCTCTACCACAAACCAGTAAGGAAGCTGGACTCCCATCTCTTCACCCGGCTCTTCTGAAAGGGCTTGTCCAGCTGCATATTCCAGTGGATGAGGTTTGTTGGATCAGTAGAAGAACAGTGTCAAGCTAGTGAATAGAGCTGGGAAAATCAGCCTGGGATCCTTACCCCAGCCACTGAACAGTACCCCCTGAAATGAGCTAAGGATGGGAGGCGATTCTGTTGTACCGTGCACTGCATCCATTTCCTCTGGCTCATTCTGAGTGCGCTGCAGATCAGTGGGGAGGCTTGCTTCAAAGAGCAGCCTCTCTTTTAAGCTCTGGATGGTGGTGCAGCAGCTTCCTTGGGAGAGTGTTAAATCATTTCTTTGCTACAGGGGTAATGTGAAAGTAATACTAAACAGACTCTGCAGTAGCACCATATGGATTGCTTTTGCCCTTGAATGGAAATGGGACTCTGTTTTTAATCAAGTATGATTCAACATCAGCCTGAGTAAATAGCAGGATGTGTTAGTGCATTGTGAAAATTTTATACATGCAGCTTTTAAATGGGCTTTTAGCAAGTTGGTATTAATCTGCTGGAGCTCTGAGGTTTCCAGAAGGCTATGCAGTAAAAGGCACCCTTTTTAAAAAGGGCTAGGGAACAATCTCTCATTTTTCTTTTCTTAGCGCTGCTCTCAGTTCCTTCTTGGTCTTCACTGGCTGTTCACATAGGCAGACATTTCCCAGGCACTTGTTTCTGAATGAAGAGGAAAGCCTACTTAGACCCCGAATAACCCGTGGTATCTGAGTTGAGGAGCATTTTTGAAATGGCAGCATAGTTGCATGCTGTGGGGAAAAAAAAGCTGGTTTGTTCAACTGAAGACAGCAAAGGGTCTGAACAGAAATAAGTGATTTGCTCAGCAGGGCTTTGCTAACAGGCGGTGGTGGAGCAGAGTGGCAGAGCTGCAGGAGACCTGTGGAGGGCCCAGGCAGGGCCATGTGCTGCTCACACAGAGAGGAGCCAGCAGGCCTAGGAGCAGAGATCCTCACCCGAATCTGCCCCTTTCTCCAGCCCCATCCACTGCAGTGCCCTGCCTGATCATTGCTTTTCAGTGCAGCACTAACCCACACAGTGCAGGTTGCAGTTGCAATGCTCCCAGACCCACAGCTTCCTGAGAGGCAAGGGTACAGTTGAGTGGTGAGAGCTCCCTGGGGACAACGTGCTTGTTATTGCAGTGATGACACTTGTAGGATTGGCTTCCTGCAAGAATTTTTTTGTTGTTTGTCAAGTCATTTGGCTCTGATGTTCAGAGGCAGTGCAAGCCTGTGCTTTCCTTTAACACCCTTCCCACAACACCCACTGGCTTTTCATGGAGATGATGTTCAGTGCGTACCAAAACATTGTCCTAACTGGGCATGTTTTGTAAGCTGGAAGTACAAATTCATCCCCTGGAGAGTCAGCACCCGGACTGTTGTGAAGGCTTGGAGTGACCTGGATGGCAGAAGACAACCAGGATTTCACCAAGTCCAATTTTGGATGTGCCTGTCCAGGCTTTCAGACACAGGTTGTGATGGAAAATGCAGTGCGGGCACCCTTACTTTTCATGCCTGCTCTATTCATGGGGCAGCTGTGAGGTTCAGCAAGCAGCTATTTCTAATGCATTTTGGGAACTATGCCTCTGAAATGTTCCACAAATTCATGGGATTGTTTGTTATTCAGATGCAGATTGACCTGAAATACCATTACCTTTCCACAAAACTGAAGCATGTCTCTAATAAAACCAAATTTAATGGTGCTCTCCAGAATCAGACTTTCTCCTCAGGGCTCTGTGATATCTTACATTGTTTCATTTTCATTATGAATTGGTATCGATTTATTTTTTTTAATTAGTCCTGTCAAGAAAGGAAGTGCAGAGAATCTTGGAGCACAGAGGAGTTGTTATGGTGAGCTGCTGACCTCTACTCTTAAGAGCAAAATCGTTTCCAGATAATAGCAACGAGGGAAACTGTTTCATCAGTTTGTTGAAGCAGCTTCAGTTAAGCGATCTGCTTTGGCCAGCTCTGCTTCAGTTTTAATCCTGGGAAGGATACAGACACATCCATATACATGGGAATTGCTGTGTTTTGTGTGTTTCTTGCTCTCAGACACTTCAGAGTGATGAAATGTGTGAGTTAATTTGTGCTGATGGCTGCTTTTTACTCCCTTTTGACTGACTTTGGCTGTCACCTGCTTAGAGATGGCTCAGTGAGTTGTGTGTTCCTTGTGCTGTTGTCCCTTCTGTACAGTCATTAGCAATCTGGAGGGTATTGCTAGTGGTTGGCTTTTATTTCTGAGATGCTTAGCTCTCCCTTTAGAGTTCTACAAGGATAACACCATCTTTTCCTCTGTGTATTCTGCTGGAAATGCAGATCACACTGGTTTAATACATACTTGTCCTACAAGACAGCCCTGTCCCCAGCCTCCTTTTGTGTTGCACTGCAGCGGTGCCTATGTCACTGCTGGAGCACCCCACTGCATGGCTGGCCAGCCTCCAGCCAGCCTTGCTGTAAAGCACCAAGGACTTTAAGAACTGCATTTCTTCAGAACAGAAAACTGATTTCAGATTGCCTTCATCAGTTTAGTAGCTCTACACCAGATCATTTCTTGGCAGGCATGAACTAAAGCTCTTTGTGTTTGTAGCTGTGATGGAGCCTCAGTCATTTGCACCAGCTGGTGCTTGGTGCATGATTTCTGTCCCATGTCCTCCTCTCTTTATGGCTATTGCCTTTCCACAAGGCAGCTAGACAGAAGACATGCTTTAAGGATAAGTTTTTCAAGCCAACTGGTGCAGAACTTTCATTGCTGTCACCTACACTGCACTGCAAAGCAGCATGGTGTGTGGGTTGGGCACTGCTCCCAGCACCACCATTCCTGACCTGGCCAGCCACATCCCCTCTGTGCTTCTTTCTTTCACATCTCAGTTTACTGCTATTTAAATTGTGTGCCAGGTTTGCCCCTGGCTGACGTTGCATTGCAATGCCCTGGGACATGTCAGTCTCACTTTTGAAAGCACAGCCTGTGCTTTGCTGCCCCAGAGGCACTTGTGCTGATTTTCTCCTCTGAGCGGTCTAGGTCATAAACTATCACTGTTCCTAATGCTCATGTCAAGAATGGATGTTCTGGTCTGTGGGGCACAAATGTTCATTGACTCCAGTGTTGGACTACTTTTTGCAAAGGATGTTTTCTACTTCTTTGTTCAGCAGTCATATTGCTGCAGTGCTCAGACACTGAGCACCAGGCTGATGTGGGCACTGAACAAACAGAGCAACTGGCAAACAGACCTTCTACTTTCATTCAATTGCTCAAAGGCAGGGAATGTGTTTTATGAGATAAATAGTATGGGGAAAAAATAGTGAAGAGCCCAGAGTACCTGCTTCCCTAGTGCAGACCCCTCTGTTCTCAGGCTTAGCTCTGGGGATGGTCTGCACGTTTTTGTAGCCTGTATTTTTGTAGAGGTTTGGGGAATCTCAGCTCTGTAGGATCAGGCAGCCTGCACCCAGTCATGTGTGTGAAGGGCATCTAGTCATTTCCTGAAGGGAAACATCACTTCCCCCTCCCCATTTTCCTTTTTTGCTCTACCTCCATTACCATAATGAAAGTCAGCTTGCCACCAGCTTTGCTGCATAGCAGATGTCTCCTCATTATTACTGTTGTCGCAGAGCTTTCAGTGTTAATCTGACTAGCCAGGCTGTTACAGCATTAACTGGCTCACATCGCAGCATGGCCACGCAGTTGTTGCACATCTGGAAGAGGATGTAACCACCAGTGCTTTTAACTAATGCTCTCCATCAGGCTTTTGTCTGTTGTGTCTCCAGATCAGCTCTTAGGGGAATGGAGCATCTCACTTTACCTGTGGGTGTGTGTGCTGCTAATGAGTCAGCTGCCCACAGCGCGCTGCTTAACACAACGCCTCTGAAATCTCTCCCACCCAGCCTCAGTGTGCTGCCCAGATGAGTTACATGGAAGTGATCCTAGATCTCTGCACGTGTTTGAGGCTCTCTTTCATGTGACAAGGACAACATCAATCAGCATTGCTTTAACCTAAGGAGAGGTCCTTGCAGAAAAAAATATATGCAAATGTGATTTCCCTTCCTCAGGCAAGGCCTGCTGGAAAGCTTTCTTGGGAAGAGCAGAATGGTTACGTGGAGGTTGTTCATTCTTGCTCCTAAAACACAAGCTGATTTGCTCTGTAGGGCAGATTGCTTCTGTGGCAATGTGCTGAACAGGTTTGTAAACCAGGAAAGGAGAAGATCAGTATTTTCCTCTCCCAATTGCATGCTTCCTATGAGATGTCAAAAGCAAATGTGAAAATGATAATTGAGGCTGGGGGAGCAGTGGGGTGCAGGGGTCCTGGGAAAGGCAGTAAGAACTAGAGCATTTCCACTTCTGTTCAATACAGTCTGCTGGATTTTCTACAGCTCTGCTTTTGGGGACATTTCATGTTCTGAAAGCTGTTCTCTGATTTAAATTTTTTCTCTGCGTTCCTAGGAGTCATTTTTCTACAGCTCCCTGCTGCTTCTTTCCTGAGCATCCAAAAAATTGCTTTATTGCAGCTGCAACATTACTTCGTAGATAGCTTGTAATGAAAGATTCCTGCTTTCAGAGCAGGATGTGTGAGTCTGCACCTCTATTTGCATCTTTGCAGAAAGGTTTTTGTTTGGGTGGATCAACTACCATGGCAAACCATATTCTTGTCTTCTTTTCTTAGTGCACTACCAGAAGATCATTCACCGGGATATCAAGCCTTCCAATTTGCTCTTAGGAGATGATGGACATGTTAAAATTGCTGATTTTGGAGTCAGTAATCAATTTGAAGGGAACGATGCCCAGCTTTCCAGCACAGCAGGAACACCAGCCTTCATGGCACCAGAGGCCATTTCAGACACGGGCAAAAGTTTCAGTGGAAAGGTAGGTCGTGGCTCACGGCCAGTGTGTGCTGGGATCTCACAGGCCCTGCACAAAGGGTAGCACCACACCTACATCCTTTGCATTTTGCTCTCTGGCATTATGGTGTAGATTGGCATGGTGGATTGTTTTCAATTAAAATCAAAGCTCTAATTTTGTGTTCAGGCAAAACTCATGTTGGTTGTTCTGTACAGCAGGTAGATGGACTTTTGTCAAGCCCCTGCCAAGACAAGGAGGCAGGTTAGAGTCCAACAGGGCCCTTTTCCTGCTTGGCAAGGAAGGACAAAAATCCCCATTTCCTTCCAAAGTAATCATGATTCACAGAAGGTTGCTGGGCACCAAAGTCATATCTTGTTACCCTGAAAGTGAGGAATGTGGATGAATATTGTAATGCAGGTGTTAGAATAGGGTCTAGCTGTTGCTGTTAGCCTTTTTTTTTCTTTCTTTTAAACTTGGAAGAAGACTTGAAGTTCAGCTGTTCCTTGAGGTTCAGCCTGGAGCTGTCATCTTCTATAGGAAGAAAGGACTGCTCACTGGTCAGTGCCCTTCACAGCAAAGACAAGTGTGGTGATGTCTGAGCCAGCACAGTTCTCTTTCCCCACAAAGGCCATAAATGCCTTTGGGAGCCCAACTTCAGAGACACTCTGTGCAATAAAATTAAACGTAAAATGTTAAATGTGTGCAAGTAGTTCTGTGAGTCAGTGGGAAAATCCAGCTCATTTCTATCCTCTGTGTTGCATCTAATTTACTGCCTGCACTTGCTTTCTTTCAGGCACTTGATGTATGGGCCATGGGAATTACCCTGTACTGCTTTGTTTATGGGAAGGTAAGCTGGCTTTCAGATGCTGGAGCCCTGTATGAGGGTGTCTGCCTGCCTGTCTTTTTGCTCATTCCTTTCCAAATAAAGGCAAATGTTAGAAGCAGAGGTCTACTTTCCACACGCTTCTGTTTTCCCAAATCACCCTGCAGATGAGAAGGGACTTCAAGAGCTGACCCCTGTACTCAGAATGGAAAAACAGGTGTTTAAATAATAATACCTGACTCTAAATTATGCTTCAAGCTTCAAGACACAGGTCTTCAAGCAATGAAGCAGGTCAGTCAGTATCAGTATCAGTATTTCTGTGCTCCAGATAGAAAAATGTAGCAGAGAAAAGGAAAATGGTCGCGTGGTAGGCTGGATTGAGAGGGCTGCCCCAGTCACGTTCTGTATTTGTTTGGTCCCTCTGCTTTTCTTCTTTATATATTTACTTATCTTAAAGAAATGGCTTTATTTCGTGGAGGAGATTTTACTTCCATTTCCACATAAAATCCAGACAGTGCACACAGGAAGTTCACTTCTATTGAATGAATGGCAAACACCAAAGCGGTGCCAAGATCTTTGACAACTGGGAAATCTTTGTTTGTTTTACAGTGTCCTTTTATAGATGAATATATTCTGGGTCTTCATAACAAGATCAAGAGCAAGCCTGTGGAGTTCCCAGAAGAGTAAGTAAACTTTACTCAGCTACTGTAATGTAAAGATCAGTCTTTGGCATTGCTTGCTGTGCAGTATAAATGCTGGTGGATCACCACTGAGGGATGGACAGAAGCAGGTGAGGTTCTTTGCATTCTCCTGGGTCCTTCATATGAGTGTTGTGCCAGCATTGCTGTAAAAGCATTGCAGCTGCCTTTGCTGCTTATGTTTGTACATTGCAGATGAAAACTAAGGAGAATTGCTCTTGAGACTTTTGGTGGAAGTAGGGGGATTTAATTATGGGTCCACTGAGTTCTGCCTCAGCTGACTTGAGTGAAGATGCTGGAAGCTGGGATTCATTGAAATTTTGTACTTCTGCTGTCTGGCTAATAACTGGAAAGATTCAGTATGTTGGCTTTCTATAGTAATTTGTTAATTATGATAATACTCAGACCTTGGACTTGGTCTGAGTAAACACCCACAGCTTACACAGATCTACCTTGGAGCTGGGAAGTGTCTCCTGAAGGATACTTGTCCCACAGCTTGCAGAGTCCCAAACCAATCCAATGCAATCTAAGAAGATGTGGATTTGTCTTGTGTGCTGGCAAACTTGGGCTTATATGCCACTCTTTTGGAGTCTCTCTTCTTGTTCCTACTTACAAAAAGCATGATTTTTTTAGAAATAAAATTACTTGATTCAAAACAAGGATGAGGAAATTAAAAATCTAATGTAAAGTACATCTGTTATTAGAGAGGAAGGGAGAGATATTGCCAGACAACCCCAGATAATGTACAAATATCCACTGTTACATTATCTGTGATACACTCACTGAATTTTTAGACGTTCACAGTGAGGGGCTGGGCCACTGCTTCAGCAATCCCAGGCTTCCTTTTGAGTCTGCAAAGAGAAATGGGTACTTAGAATGTCCTATTTTAGACATCTGCTTTAGATAGGATGACTCATAACCCAGACTCCACTGGCTGTATTAATTACCTCTCCACTGACTGTGAAGCACAGCCGCTGCAGATAGCTCAGATGAAGCAATCTCTACTTGGGCTGATGGAGCCACACTGAGGACTGTGTGGGGCACATCTCTGCTCCTAAAGACCTAAGCACTTGTTTGGTGTCAAACACAGGCCCCAGTGGCCCTGGTCAGTGGTTTGGGTTAGTTCTGATGGTTGGTGAGATTTGGCACATAACAGGGCGTCAGGCACTGAGAGCACAAAGGCTGGCCATTCACGCTACATTGCTGTGTTTCCACCTATTGTTCTGTAGCAGATGCAGGACTTGGTCTGTAACAGCACTGCAGCAACAAATAAAAATAAATAGTTTGTTTCTCTCTAGTCTCCTTTCTAGTCTCTCTGCTTGCTTAGGTTCTGGCAGAATGCCTGTCCTCTCAGCCATCATATATTTGGGTTAGCAGTCAGCTTACAAGTGACTGTTCCCATCTGTCTCTGCAGTAAGTTATTAACATTTAACGGGCTAACTGGGTTGTGCTAAGAACATTTTCTTCATTCAGACATTTCCTCCAGCAGTAATGCAGCTCTGCAGTTTATTTGGACTTCTCAGTCACCTGGTCTCTCGATCTAAGAAAAAGCTGTACCCCTCAGTAGTCTGTTGGATAAGTAGAGCTGCTGGGTGTTGACATCTGTCTAAACCACATCTATCCATGAGATGAAATCAGTAACAAAGACGTACGTGAAGCTGGAATTCACTGGGCTGAGTCCACGCTGACCTCCCACGGAATTAGCACCTCGTTACAGTTAGGAATATTTTGGTTTCAATTTATTTCACCATGGCTACAAAAGACGCATTCCTTTGTGCAGACATGGAAATTCATTGCTTGTTCCCTGACAACCTTTGATGAAGCAGACTGTACCCATGCCGTTCCTTCCCTTCCCTTAGAGATGCTAGGGTAAATATTTATCACTCCAGTGTTCTCGTTCATGTCGTTCAGTCCTTGGTGTGACATGAGATGAACGAGGTTAGCTGCAGCTTGCACCCTGGTGATCCTGGCGTGGCTAAAAAGCACACTGGAGGAGTTTCTGGTCAGGCACGTGCTAGGAGAGCCAGAAGCTCTGCGTAGCTCTTCCTGGTAAAGAGCTGAATTTGAGGACGATATCCCCTGACCTTGCTGCCTGCAGGCGCCCTGTAAAGCGATGTATGGGATTGACAAATCCCTCAGCATCAAATGGGTGCTGAACTCTGTGGTGCTTGGTGTTTTCCTGAAAGCTGTTACAGTGCTGTGACTATGAGAAATTGCAGATGGCACAGACTTTTCAAATGAAAAATGACATGGGCTACAAGATGAACCCTGACAGAATAGAGAGAAGGGAAAACAGAGGCAGGGTAAGGCAGTCAGTTACCTAGTTATAACCCACTAGGAGCTTTGCAGTCTTATTTGCAGGGCTTTTCCTTATAGCATTCATCCTGTTGTGTAGAAATCAGTGTGGTGCCAGAAATGTTAGGTGATTATTTAATCTATATCTTGTATTTTAAGTTAACGTGTTGCTAGTTTGGCACAGATCTGATGTTAAATATTTTACAAACACCACTGCACTTCTGTCTCAGAGTGGTCCTCCTTCAGGAGTCTGTTTATTTTGACCTGCTAAATGCTCTTTCACTCTCCATAGCTGCTCCTCTGTGCCTGGACCTCATCTTAAGAACAGCACAGTTCTTCCCAGTCCCACCTAAAACATCACCTGGACTGCAGCCTTGGATGTGGGAAGTCTCTGAGAACTCCTCCTGCCATTCCCCATGTCTGGGCTGTATTGCCTGTTCACTGTAGATACTTGATGTTCGCTCTAAATCGCTCTCACCTTCTGTCCCTTCCCACTGTGTTTTCTTGTGGTTGTTTGCGAAAGATCCCATAACCCAAATGCACGTAAAGTACTCATAAATTATTGAACAGCAGCTATGATTTCATCAGACTAAAATATCCCTTATTATGATTTGATCTTCATGCAGTTTTATGATAGTTTATTCCTTCCTCTTCTTGGGGAGGGTGCAGAGGAGGTGGGCACAGTACCTGGTTCTCATCAGTGTTTTGAATCTGATGTTAGCACTGAAATCCAGCTGTCAAGTGACATTTTATGTTGCCAAATCCATCCCCATGCACATACACACTTCATTGAAAGGCATTTGTGATACAGGTTTTCAAGAACCTAAAGCAGTTGTGTCATATGAGGCATTTTATTTCAGTAGCACTTTCTGATCGTACAGATCAAGTGTGTTTTTAAAGATATGGCTTACATCATTAGCAACAGAAGTCATTGAAGTCTTCAGACTAGAGATGGGAGGGCCAGCAGGACCGAGGGCTTAATGAGAACAGAGTGGCTTCTGGGTTCAGGCAGTCTTATCATTTAGTCTTAGAAACAGTGCTGAGAAGTCAGATATATTTCCATCTCTTAGTCACATCTGTTCCTTTCCTCCTTTCATTATCCTGGGACTGAGCTGTACAGGTAAGAAATGCATAGCTGTGTTAGTTGGCAGAAGAGTGTAACTAAATATTTTAGCAGTGACCATCATGTCTGAGAAGGAACCAAGAAAACTAAATCTTCCTTTTTCTAGCTGGTTTGCAGAGAAAATGCCTTTCGAGCAGCTTTTCTAACAAGTAACTGCAGGAGGGGCTATGCGTGCCTGGGGCACTGGCAGTTCTCTTGTTAACTGTATGCTGCTGTTTTCTTTACTCAGATTACAGATAAGTGATGAGCTCAAGGAGCTGATCTTACGCATGCTTGATAAAAATCCAGAAACAAGGATAACAGTCCCTGAAATTAAGGTAAATTGAGCATTGATATTGCAGTCTTTTGTCTCAACTGATTTTTTTGTTCCTTTGATACCTCCTAATGGGGCAGAGCTGTTCCCAATATTTGTTTTGTGAGCTTTTTCTGGCAAACTGACACAGAAAGGGAGAGTGCTCATTTTGCACTGTTCTATTGCTGCTGCTTGCTTGGGGAATATTGACAAAAGCTCTCTTGTTTACTTATTTAAATTAAAATTACTCAAAATCTGGCTGATTCAGTGAATCCCCAGTAGAATCAACATTGTCGTGGGAACTGTGAGCTGCAGAGGCCATATTGTGAATGCTAGACCTGTGTTACAGGGGCTGGCAATGCCTTCCTTGTCTAGTACTTGTGTGGCGATGGTCTCAAGGCATCACATTTGCTTCTATCAGTATTACTTGGGGGATGCCTATTAACACAGAGAACAAATAGTCCTGACAGAGCACAGTGCTTTGCAGAGTTTGCTTTCATTCTGTTTTAGCACGTGCTTTCTGTCCTCCTTTCACCTCTCACTGAAGCCTTGAATCAGCAGTATTTCTCAGGGACCCATTAGCATCCCTTAGAGGGCACACTACTATTCTCTGCTTTGTTTCAGGCCAACACCAACACATTTTCTGCTAAAGCTGATGATAGGAAAGTTGAACTTTGAGAAGAAAGGTGACATCCCTTCCCTCCATGCCCAGGAAGCCACAGCCAGTGGTAGTGGGAAGTGCTTTGGAGGTGCATTCATTGATTTTGAGTGGCAGACTTTGAGCAGTCTGTGTTCCTCCCCATGTAGGTACATCCATGGCTAACCAAGGGTGGTGAGGAGCCTCTGCCCCTGGAAGAGGAGCACTGTACTGTGGTGGAGGTTACAGAGGAGGAAGTGAAGAACTCAGTGAAGACCATCCCAAGTTTGCCTGCTGTGGTATGTATAAACCAGAGCAGTTCATTTGAATGAGCCAAGAGCATGACACTTTGAAGCTCTCAACTGGTAAAGGAGGTTTAGAGGGTACATGTGTGCTCCTGGCCCAGGAGAGCTCTGGGGCTGCCTTCTTACTTATGAGCAATAGGCAGCAGTCAGCTGCACAAAAGATGTGCTTTGACTCTTGCCAGCAATGGTCTGTGTCCAGGAATCTGAGCTCACTGCCTAAGCAAATGATGCTGAGACTGCTTGGAAGTGGCTGTTTCATGGGTTTTTCTGGTACGTGCTCTAGATGTAATGCTGTTAAGTGTCTGCTGAATTATTAAAGAAGCTGTTGTTTGACTCCTTTCAACTAACTTCAGGGGGATGTTCTCAGCAGTCTGTTTTTCTTCCTCAAAGATCCTAGTGAAGGCCATGCTAAGAAAACGCTCCTTTGGAAATCCATTTGAAGTTCAGACCAGGCGGGAGGAGAGGTCCATGTCTGCTCCAGGGAACCTGCTGATGTATGTATATGCAGCCTTGCCTGGCTCTGTGTGCAGTGTAAAAGTGCACAGGAGAGACAAGGGAAGCCATTTACAAATATTTTCCCTATCATTTAAGGACAAAACTCGCTTTTGCCTAAAATATTGAGGCTGAATTCTGCTTCAAGTCTTCCAGGGTTAAAATACAATGCAGTAAAACAAGCTTGAAGGCTCCTTATAGATGGAATTATTTCTCTGAGGTGGTTTTGGCCTAAACACACTTAAGGTACTAAGCTTGGCCTGGTTTTTAAGCTGTTAGTTAGTATGCTGTGATCAAAGATCCACTTGAGATAGGTGGACAAAAATAAGGGTATCTATTGGGTGCTTTAATCTTCTTTCCTTTTCCTGGATAATAAAAAGGTATCAGATGAACAGCTTTTGAGTTTTATAAGCTAGAAATGAAATGATGTGGTTTGTCTGGTGTCCAAGTCTGGGTGTCTGAACTGGCAGGCACCATGAAGTTGTATAGGCAGAGAGCAGAGAACACTTGGACATGACTTTTTCACTTGAGAAGAAAAAGGAGCCAGCTGAATGGCTCACTCTTTGGAATTCAGAGGAGGAAACAGTTAATCTTTTAGCTGAATTTTCCCTGATTTCTTCCTGGTCTCCTTATTACGTGTAAACAGCAAGCTAGGCTCTGGTTTTGGAAACGTTATGTGCAGAAATTGTATGGGCAGAAGTCTTTGTAATATGAGGAGGTCTTTTGTGTTTGCAGTAGCTTTTGTTTCTTTAGAGGATGCCAGTAAGGCATTAGTGATCTGAAGGAATTTTTAAGTTAGTATTGGCAGGGGGAAAGGCTACTTTAGCTCTGCTTAGACCTGGAAGACTCAGTCCTCTCCACACTTCTGTGTATTACTTTGCTTAATAGCACAGAAAAGTTAAAAAGGCAGCTGTTGGAATGGCAGGCACATTCACCAGGGAGTCAGAGGGGAATTAAAATGAAAAAACTCTTTTGCAACGCCTGCCTGTCCCATGCACACCTACAAGCTGTGTGTGAGAGCTGCTGTCTGCCACTTCAACCCCTTGGGGCACTGGGGCTGAGTGTCCTGGCAGCCCAGACAAGAGGCAGGCAGTCACCTCTGGCTCTGCCTTTCGTACAGAACCCCCCAGAAGTTGCAGTGGTTCATCAAGCCTTGCAGGTCCTGCAGACCACGGCCAGGTTCAGCCTTGTTGTTTTATAGTATATATATATAGTATAGTATAGTATAGTATAGTATAGTATAGTATTGTATAGATCAGTATGCAAAGACACACTGATCACTACTTAATTTTTCCAGTTGCAGTATATATACAGAGGCTTTTTTTTTTTTAAGCCAGCTGTTCATTGTTCAAAGCTAAGTTCTGGGTTTCTGTTCGTATTTGCCATATTTCTTCTGCTTGCTCTAGATTTCTCCTAATTGAGTCAGCACTGGTTTCACTACATTTTATTATGCTCATTTATTGCAACTACTACCTATCAAGTTAATTGCTGTGTTTTGACAGACCCAATTTACTTTCCCATTATGGCTGCTACTGCTATTGATGACACGTGGCTGTATGGGGAATCAGTCTCTATTTAGGAAGCCTGCCCTACTCTGAGAGAGCTGTCACTGTCCTTAGGGCCTTTCTGTGCATGTAGGGTGGAACTGAGCAAGCCAGGAGGGAAATGTGGCTGACAGCTGAGCCAAGTCTCACACCAGGAATAGCTTCTCCCAAAGTGGCACAGAGGTACCTGCTCTATGAGGGCCTTGTGCTGAGAAAGTCCTGGGGCTTGCTGCTATGGGGCTGCTCAAAAATACACTGCAGAGATCGCTAAGGCCAGCTATGTTTTCAGCATCATCTTTAACAAGGTAACACTTACAGACTGGGTTTACATTTGCCTGGCATTTCTACTTAAAATACTGCCTTGGTCTCTGCTGGTGTTCAGCATCAGTTTCTTCAGTCAGGAAGATTTCGGATAGGTAGCGTAGATTCTGTCAGAACAGAGCCAAACCCAACCAATAGCCACATTAATTCTCATTCTGAAGAGAGTTGTTTGTCTCGTGGAAGAGCTGTGTCCCACGGTGCAGGTAGCTGTTCTCACAATCTGACTAAATCACCAAATGTGGCGTGGGATTTTCTTCTGTCAAAGACTCACCATCAGGAGGATTCTGTAGTGACAGACCCCGTGCTCACATGCCTCTGCCTGCGCTGAGCTATCAGTGCATCACCCATGGTACATGCTGCTAACGCTGTGACCGTGGCGGGACCCTCAGAATGCCAAACAGAGAGGCCCAGGTAAGTGCTTATGGCTGTCAGCAGTGTGCTGGAAGCAGCCAGGGGTTTTTGGCAGAGGTAGGAGCTGAAGTGGGTTTGTGTCAGTGCTAGCAGTGCTCATCCTCATCTCTCCTTTGGGCTGCAAGTAGACTTAACTGATGCTCTGTCCACCATTTCATTCTGCTTGCTAGGCTTGTTAGGTGCAGAAATACAAGCTTGTTTGCCTGCTGTCACTGTCTTCATGATCACTTTTTTCCTTTGTCTCATTATTTTGCTCTCAGGGACAGATTCCTCTTAAACACATCTATATATTTGCATCCATCTTTAAGGTAATTTGGTGTTTATATTTCCCCCAGGTGCTGTAGAAATTCTCCCCCCTCAGCCTGTGTGACTTGTGCAGTAGTGACAGCATTCTGCTCCATCCTCCCTTCCTATAGGAGCAATTTTACTGCAGTAATTCTCTGTATGTGTGACACTAATGTTTATATATACTTTTCCATTGCTACTATTCATCATTCTTTTGTGTTTCCTTCTGAGAGGAAGGGATGAAAGAAGCCTTGCTCGTGAGGCATGGTCTTTTTTCATTCAAGACTTGTTTCAGAAGTGAAGGCACAGCACAGCTGTGGTCCTTTGCATCTGACATGGCTTGAAGAAGCAGCCTCCAGCTAGAGGAACCTAAAATGTCCTGAGGAGCTGGTCAGGCCCAGAAGGAAGTCCACAGTCCTCAGTTAACCTAAGGTTCACACACAGCCTCCCTCGGGTCAGCAGCGGTGCTTGCGGTTCATAGAAAACCACTTCCAAGTGATGGAAGGGGCCCTCTTTTGCTTATGGTTTTCTGTAAACAAGCAGAAATCCAAACTTCCCTGCATCTCTTCTCCCTCACAGCTTGCCTGTGTTCTTGGAAGAGAGGAATAGGACATCAGCAGCCCAAATGAGGGCAGAACTTTGGTGTTTAACAGTTGACTCAGTGGGCGCTGGGAAGGTGTGAAGCATTTCCCAGGAGTGAGCATGCTCTCATTCAGCTCCCTGCAGGTTTTCCCACTCCTTTGCTGTTCTGTACCGCAGATGTTTAGGCTGCAGGTGCTGTGTGCTCTTGATGGACACACAAGCCCATATAAATACTAAGAGGCTGTGATATTTTTGTGGTTGCTCTGGTTAGCAGCAGTGCAATCTGGATAATAGTACAGTTTGGGCTTTACTTACACATGGTTTAAGAATGCAGCAGGAATAGTCTTACTTCCTCAAAAGAGACATTTAGTGGAGACTCACGTTCAGCCTCAGGCCTCACACATGAGCCCTGGCTCCCATGCAGAGCATGAACTCCTCGATCTCTGCTGCTATGCATACAGACTGAGTTTAGTGAACATTCATAGCACTGTGCGGACATCGTGTCAGCTTCCTTTGTGCTGCACCCCTCCTAAGGCAAAAGCTGCTTGGGGTGGCAGTGAGCATTGGGTGCAGGACAGGCAGGGAGCCATACTGTGCTGAGCAGGGAGCTCAGGGTGGTGCAGTGTTTAAGGAGGGGGACGATAAGCAGTGAAGAAGGGGCTGCTTTTGGACTCCTTGTAAACAGTCCATGCTCAGAGTTCAGGGTCGGGTTTGTCACAGATGCAGAATTTTGATGATTTCTTTGTTTGTTTTTATTTTGGAGGGTGAAGCAGAGTGAAAAAGCACTGAAAAATGTCGCAGGGCTATCCAGGGAAGTGTAAAACTGCAAAGTCACATAGCACTGCAGCGCACTGAGCTGGGATATCCCTAGTCTGTCTACATGGTACCAGCACAGCAGGCTGGTTTGTTGCTATTCCCTCTTACTGTTTAACACTATTGACCCAGGTTGCCTGTTGGAAAAAACACAGCTTGCTTGATTTTTTTTTTTTTTTTTTTTTTTTTTTTTGCATACTTACCTCTAATCTCTCTGTTTCTGTGCTGTTCATGTAGAAAACAAGGGAGCAGAGAAGGAGGCAGGGACTCAGAGCTGCCTGATGTGTGTGAAGATGAAGCTACATCCTGAAGCCACGTGGCTGTTGCAGGCTGGTTGCTCACGTGCTGCTGCTGCTGTACCCATCGTGGTGTTTGGCACACATCTGCTCACATCGCAAAGTCCAGGGCCTGCAAAGCAAAAAGCAAAACGGACCAACCTAGCAAACTGAAAAGGAGGAAAAGAGCAGCAATAAAGAAACGAGCGAGCCTCAGCTGGCAGAGGGCTGGCTTGGCCTCTTGGGCAGCTGTGTTCCTCATGCGAGGTGTCCGTGTGCTCCTGTGTGTGCCTTGCTCTCCACTTGTGCTTCACGTGTGAGCTTTGTAGTTGGGTGTCTTGACCAATGAATGTTTTTCTTTGCAATGCAACAAACCAAACGTTGTCTCGTGGGTCGTTCACCCTGGAGACCTTTTTCTTGCTTTTTTTTTTTCATCCTCTGTTTCAAAGATCAGGAAAAAAAACCCGACATCAAAGCGAGGTCTTCTATCAGAGAGCAACTCTTACTGCACTCATAAAGCATTCTGTGTACCAGGACACAGTCCTGTTCAGTTGGTGATAACATGTCTATGGATAGCAGTTACAGAAGGCTGAGATCTTCCTTTTGGTGTTTACACTGTCACTCTCTATGCCTTTTTTTCCCTCCTCCTCTTGACCCTTAATGTAAACCCTGCCAGCATTGATAGCTTTGTTCATGGCAGTGTTGTAAACTATAACAACTACATGATATTTCCTGTATGTGCAATGAGCCTTTGGATGCCACAGGGCTGAACCACCAGGACACACTGTTACACGTGAAGGCTTAGTGCACAGGAGACATCTGCTGATGAACTCTTCCCAAGGAGCTGTGATTTCATTCCATCACCTGCTCCCAGTCCTGTGCACATGGGTGTCGTTGTGAAGTGTAAAAAGAAGTGACAGGTTTGGCATTTATCCCATTTAAGGGTGATGTCCTTTCACACACATCTCTTAGCTCCTTTAAAATGTGTGCCTGATGCTTTTCAACTCCGATTTCCTGGTAAATGACCCAAAATGGGAGAGCTCTTGAGGATGGGAAACATTATGGAAGGGGTTTAAAGCTAAGGAAGGTTACAGAACACAAATGGGATAAAAATGAAAACTTGATCTGTTGTTGCTTAAGACCATAGTTTTTAATTTTAAGACTGTAATTTTATGCACGTGCTGATGCTGCTGATGGCAATCCATAGATTGCTTCCAAACTTGGGATTAGAAGCTTCATCTCTACGTTTGGCAACAGGTGAGAATCTGCACTCGAGGAGCAGATGCACTCCTTTCATCGGCTGCTGCCTGCACAGGCTGTGTGTAATCAGGAATTTCGCTCTTGCACGCCGAGAGTAAAAGCCAGTGACATCAATCCATCACAGTGCACGCCGGTGTTTTCCTTTGAGCTGTCGGGGGTCTAAGCATGCCTCCAGAAGGTCGACAGACTGAATTCTTGTACTTAAAGGACACGATTCAATTTGGTTCCTTACTGACTTTTTTAGGTTAACCATGAGGGCTTGGGGCTTGAGTCCCTCTGATTCTTTTGTGCCAGGGGATATGCATACAAGGATGATTAATAGCAACTGGTATACTAATTTTCCCATTCTGTTCACTGTAGATTAGTTTGGTTCCTAACGATTTTGTAGCTTGGCTTTGCTTCCAGTGCCTTCTGCTTGCCAGCCCCTGCCTGCCACCTCTTCACCCTCCCCTCTGCTCGTCTCCAGCTGCCTCGCAGTGCTGGTGGGAACCCAGAGGCAGTCTGCAGCCTGGGCTGTGCCCCGCGTCCTGCCTGTAAATACTGGCCAAGGCTCGTGGCTTGGGGTGTATTCTTGGAGTTAAGGTATTTTGTCAAGGAGACCTTCCATTTTTAAATCAGGGAGCAGGATTATATCCTGTAAATGTTAACCGCTCTGGGGCTGTATTCTGCATCACTTGCACGCAGGTGTTCTAGCAAGCCTGCATTTGTCCCTCTGCATGCACCTGCAGTGCACTCAGCATCCCCCGAGGGCTGTGACTGTGCTTCAGCCTAGCACTGTGATCCATCCCTGCGCAGTGGAGCACTTGAACGTGTGCCAGAGCCATGTTGACTCATGATGAAGATTTAAACGCTGCAATAGGGAAGGAAAACCAAGGTGGAACCTTAGCGAGTCTGAGAGCACGCTGGGGCTCTGCGAACGCAGAAGGACGTGTTGGGACAAACTGCACAGGGGGGGTGGTTGTGCATGGAATGTCTGCACACAGCTGGCCACGTTTGGGGCAAATGAGTCTTCAGTGGGTCAGAGCGTGAGGGCACCATCATTGGGTCCTGCTGAGCAGCCTCAGGGGAAAGGCAGCAGCAGTGGGCAGAAAGAAGTCCCTAAGGCTGGCCACAAAGGCAGGGGGATAAGGAGAGTGGGAGAAGAGAGCAGCTGTAATCCTTGTCAGCTTGGGTCTGCTGAGGTCTGAGCAACGCTTGGGTGGTGCTCACAGAGCTGTAAGGCCACAAATGAGGTTTTATTTATTGTGCTTTTTAACAGATGGTAGGGGGGAGAAGTTTGCTAACGCAGGTGGTTGTTGGGTTACTCTAAAAATGTGCAGCTGGGGGAATTAATGGGGGTGAGGTGGCTGGGAAGCTGCTCAACTAATGAGACCAAGCAAATAATTACAGCTTTATCTCTAGTAACTGGTAACTAGAGCACTGCTGTAGTTTTGGAGAATTGAGGAGAGTGGGTATTTGTTGTGATTATCCCAAAGTCTGCTTTGGAAAATTGCCTTTTTTGGCAAGAGAAATCCTTCTGGAGCTGTTTCTGCAGGTCCAGGGAACAGAAAGTATCACAGAGCTGAGCTTTTGTCAGACCTTGTTTCTCTAGCCAACCTGCCAGCTTTGTGGGTTTGCCCTTCTATCTCCAGAAACTGCACATGTCAAAATGTGGGAGCAGCACAAGCAGCAAGCACTGCTGGAGTTGATCCAGGAGCTCTGTGTGACTTCTGCAGGAATGCTTCGTTCACTGAGCTGCAGTGAAACTCTTGCTCGTTTTTACGTGTGTCAGGGCAGCTAGGAGCATTGCTGCTCGTACTGTGAAGTAAAGGATTCAAGAGAGAATCTGCTCGTGACAAACGCCCCTGGCAAGGCAGCCCTTTTGTTCACTCTAGAAAGTCGTTAGCTGGATGTCCAAATATTTGCCTGTGTCCTCGCTGTGAGCACGGGATGGGATTTGGGGTGGCAGGGCTGCTGGCAGTGAGTGGGTGCTGTGGGCACTCGTGGATGCTTTAGTGTTTCCTCTGCCCGAACCCTGCTGGCGGTGCTGCTCTGCTAACGGGTGCCTGACGGCTGTGCTGTGCAGAGGGCTCCTCCTGACGGCAGGCTGCTCTGGTCAGCCTTTAAGCTTGGGGATGGGCCCAGCACGGGAAGCTTTGATGGCAGTTTCTCATTTGGAGCATCTCTCTGATCTCCAGGGGGTCGTTTGTTCCTCTCGCTCCGTTAACAGCTGCAGCTCTGCAGTTTGGGGGGCAGTCAATCACAGGACAGGATCACTGAGGTTGGGAAAGATCTCCAAGGTCATCCCGTTCACCTACCACCAATATTCCCCACCAAACCGCGTCCCTCGGTAGCACAGCTAAATGTTTCTTGAACACCTCCAGGGGCGGTGCCTCCCCACCTCCCTGCACAGCCCATTCCAGAGAGAAATTATTCCTGCTGTCCAACCTGAATCTCCCCTGGTGTAACCTGCGGCCGTTCCTCCTGCTGGCAGCTCTGTGCTGATACACGCCAGGATGCTGTTGGCCTTCTTGGCTACCTGAGCATGCTGTGCTAAGTAAAAATCCTCATTTAATATCTCCTGGCTGGTATGAAGGAATGCTACAGTGTGTGCCTGACATATTGGCAGGAAAACATTGCTGTGAATGCCACACTTGCAAATAGATGAGCTTTGCAGCTATTTAATGACACGTCACAGCAGATCTACGTAGATAACAACTCACAGCACTTAAGAAGCTGCCTCAGCCAGCCGTGTGTGTGTGTGCTGTCCCTGCTCTTGCACAGTGATTTCCAGTGGTGCAGCTCCAGGAATCGGATGTTCCTTCACTGTTCTCACAGTCACGTTGCTGCCTGCTTGTGCTGCTGTTCTGCAGTGAGATGGACCTGGCCTGGGAGAGGGAAAGCTCTGCCTGCGGGTTGTGTCTGAACGAGGGAGGGATGTGCAGAGGACAGAGGGCTGCAGAGCTGTGGAGCCCTGCCAAGAGCAGGAGCACACTGTTGTCTGGGCTCTGGGGACAGGAGGCATCAAAACCTGATGTGTAGGTGTAACTTAGTTTGGGTTCTCAAATTCTCCCCCTTACCAGGGCTGAGCAAAGCAGTGAAAGGGATTTCTTTGCTGGCCCTGTAGGCCACATGCTGAGCAGCACGCTGGGTGCTCTGAAAAACCATCAGCTCAAGAAAAAAAAGAAAAGCTATGACTTTTCAGGATATAATTCTCATCCTGCGTGCCGTAACCTTGCTGCTGTTACCTGATTTCCACCTGTTGTTAGTGTTTAAGTCTCTTGTTCTGCTCGGTGTGAAGTATGACAGTGTGTGCTCTGACTCCAGCATGATGTATGTGCACTCAGTACAGTAATGGCACGTGGCCGTTACTCTGTAAATATGTACCATGAATAGAGAGGCTATTTTTTGCATGCTTTTGTACTCTAGAACCAAAAAGAAAATGACAATAAAGTCCACAGAAATGAAGCGTGGTGTGAATGTGGCTCCTGACGCAGTCCCTGTGCCGGGGGACGGCCGTGCCTCCGCTCCAAGGGTTTCCTCACTGCCTCTGAAGGCTGTGGATGGGGACGTAGCTGGCGGTAATGCGGTGGTGCAGGGCTTGAAAGCCGCTCCCCCTCATTTTCCTTTAAATGGATTCTGTTTCCAAACGGATTTCTCCAGCAGCAAATTAGAATTTCATGCCTATTATAATGTTTATTCAGAGCTGACTTCTACTCTAACGCTGTTCCAAGTAGTAATTATTACAAATTAAGGTGGCATGAGGGAATAATAATAACGTGTTTCAGCAGGAGGGTGACCAGCAGCGAGCAGCAGGATTTCCTCTGCAGGGAAGCGAGAGGTGAATTTCCTGGAATATAACAGAGCAGGAAGAAGCCCTTTTCTTTCATAAAGGAATTTCCAGAGATATCCTGAAATGAAGGAGCAACTGCCAGGAGCCACCAGGCGTTCTTTGCTCGGCTGAATCAGATGTTGCACCGCTAATGCAATCTGAATGCACATTCTTTGTGCCCCATTTATTTTAATGCTTCTGGGAGAGCACGTAGCCGCCATCGCCAGCAGCATCCCAGCACCCGGCCATCCCTGTGCCTGTGGCTCTCTTTGTTCCGGCAGGAGCAACCTCTCAGGAACAGAGATTTTGTTTTTCAGCCAAAACAGACCATTTCCTGATACTTCCCCTCCCCCCCCCCCCCCCTTTTTTTTTCCTAGAGTCCAACATTAGACAGCGATTTCCTTCCTCTCAGGAGGCACTGAGTGCTGCAGCTCACACACGTCAGCACACAGCCGAGGTGCTGCTTCACTGAGCTGCTCCTACGCCCCATCTCTACAAGCTCTAGAAGAATGAATTGCTAAACCTGCTTTATGCTTTTGATGCATCTTTTATTGCAGCAGTGGCTAACATTTTTCAAACATCCACGCTCGTTAAGTACCAATTACTAATTACTACTTCAAGAAAATCAGCCTGTACAGGAGAGTTATAACCTGAGAGCAGTGCAGAGGTGCGCACAGACAGTAATCTGTTTAGAATGAAGTACAGATAAAAAAGCTTAATTAAGTGACTTCAAATGACTCAATCACACCTGTCAGCCTCGCAGCATTCAGGCAGCGATGTCTGATAAGCATTAATAAAATGAGCTTCACTGGTCAGTAGGAAAAAAAGACACTGCACAATAAAAATAAATCAACATAAACTGACGTAGGAGAAAGTGGCTGAGTTGCTGATTTCCTCCTGTGGCTTCTGCGTCAGCTGGCTGAGCAGCACAGCACACTCCTTGCTTAACCACGAGCCACCTCTTCTCTGTATTCATATAACCTTACAGAAATGCTTTGTTTATGTCAAGGTTGTTCAAACAACGTTAAGGCCAGGAAGGTGTCAGGTTATCCAACCAAGGACTCATTCCCAAGCACTGCTGTCAGAGCTGTCTTTCCCCAGACAACCAAGGCTTTTCCTGTCCCTTATTCCCATATTTGCTAGGCTGGTGCAAAGTGACACAGCTCCACACAGCTCTCTCCAGCAGCATTCAGTGTGGATCCTGGCAGGACTGTGTAGGGAAGGCACCAGAGATGCTTTGGAAAGATAAACCCCATCATTTGAAGCGAGCCATCCCAATGTTCACTGTTGCCTTTTGGGCTTTTCCATTACAGTAACTGTTGCTGTTTCTTTATTTTTTTACTCTTCCCTTCAACGTCTCTCAGCACATCCTGCAGCTTCTTACAGTTCTGTGTCAGGAACACCAAGCTCTCTTTGAAGTTGCTGGTGCCACGCTCCCTGCAGACGTTTTCCAGCCCATCAAACCACTGCACAACCTTCTCCAGCTCGGCCTGCACAGCTCTCTGCTCCTCCAGCTCTGCACGCAGTGCCTGCCCGGCGGCCGCCTCGGCCCTGCACTGCTGCTGCAGCTGGGAGATCTCATCCTGCAGAGCACAGAACTCCTCCTGGCTGTAGGGGTACTGCTGGTGCACCCTGTCCTCGGGGAGCAGCACGTTGTCAGGGATGCTGAGCACCAGCTGCAGGAGCACCTCTTCCATCTTTCTGAAGAGCTGGTCGAAGCGGGCCTTCATGAAGTGCAGGAACTTCTCCGTGCTCCTGCGGATCTCGAAGCGGCTGATCTGGACGTCCGGCAGCGCCTCGAGTTTCTTCAGGATGACGCTCTCCACCACCACCATCATCTCGAAGAGGTAATCCTGGAACGCCAGGTAGATGCGCAGCATGCACGTCTGCGGGGTGAACCCGAAGAACTGCGTCTCGTAGGCCATGGGGTGGACCGACATGGCGGCGGGAGGGCGGCCCGGGGGGCGGCGAAGGGAGGGTGGTCGGGGCCTGGAAGTGCGCGGGGAGCCGGAGGGGAGCCGGTTCACCTCCTCGCGCTCTTACCACGGAAACTGGGACGGGAAGGAGCTGCTCCGCCACCTCCCACCCGCTCCCCTCAGACGGCCCGATCTACTCAGGTCGAGCTTCCCGCTTCGTTCGAACTCCCTCAGAACGGCAGCCAATCAGCGACCAGAAGGTGGCGGAGAGGATGGAGGCACCGACCAATCACCGAGCGCTCCCGCTCACGGGGGCGGGGAGCTTGTGGAGAAGGAGAGAGGCCGCGCTCTCCGCTCGGCCAATGAGGATGCAGCATGGCTGCGCGGGCTGCGCGTGGCTCGGCTGCCGATTGGCGAAGGGACGGGAGATGTGCGCGCATGCGCGAAGAGGAGCCGGAAGCGGAAGCAGCGCGGGGGCGCTAAGATGGCGTACCAGACCTTCCGGCAGGAGTACCTGCAGGTGCCGCCGGTGACGCGGGCCTACACCACAGCCTGCGTCCTCACCACCGCCGCTGTGGTGAGATGGGAAGCAGGGTCGGGGCCGCGGGGGGTTCGGTCAGCGAGGTGGTCCCGTCCCTTGTCCTCCCTTACGGGCGGCGCCGGGCGGGCAGCGCCTCAGGGCCCCGGGGGGCTGGGAGGAACCGAACCCGCGAACGGCAGCGGGCGGCCGAGCCGTGACGAGGCCTTGTGCTGAAGATGTGCGCGCTGATTGCTGCGGTTCGGCTCCGCGCAGCACGGCGCTGGTGGCTTGTTTGTGTTTGTGTCCTGCTTGATGCATTGATTCGTTGTTCTGTTCTTTTCCAGCAATTAGAACTAATTACACCCTTCCAGCTGTATTTCAACCCCGAATTAATATTTAAACACTTTCAAGTAAGTGGCTCCTGATGTGCGACAGGTTTTAAAGTAATCTGGTGAGCGCGTAAGTCTTCCTGAAGTGCAGTGCTGTAGGGGGCTGTAACTCCTCACATGGAGGAGATGAGTGCCTCTGAGCCCTGCTCTTACATTCACTGACTGTAAGGGAGGTTTCTGTTACTTTGTTATTTTCTTTTCTGTGTAGCAATAAATTGTCACGTCTAAATGCCTTGCGTTTGTGTCATTTCCAGGTATGGCGGTTAATCACCAACTACTTATTCTTTGGACCAGTCGGCTTTAATTTTTTATTTAACATGATCTTTTTGTATCCTTCATGACTTTTGTTTTTTCCCTCCTTGGAAAGCAGAACTCCATAATGGCTCTTTGTGCAAGCAGGTTTAATTCTGCTCTGTGCCAACTTACCAAGAGTTCAGTAATGCTAGGTTAGCTGATGGCCTGGGCATCGACGGGATCTCTGTAACGTATCAAGCACTCTGCCATTTATTTCTGTGCTGTCATGAATCTGTTGTACAACTCAGGTCCTTCAGCTGAAATCCAGTTCTGAAATCCAGGGGAAAATTCCTAGTAATATTTCTATCCTGGAATTGGCCACTCTGCTGAGGCACGCAGGATGAGGCAGTTAATGAACTAAACTGATACACAATCTTAAATCATATAAATGCAATCTTTTCCCATGGGATCTTTGTCTAAACTCATTTGTTGTCCAGTTTCCCTGACCTGTGACTTCAGATACCGTTACTGCCGGATGCTTGAAGAAGGCTCTTTTCGAGGTCGGACGGCAGATTTTGTATTTATGTTCCTTTTTGGAGGACTCTTAATGACTGTATCCTTCCTGTTTTTATTCCAATATACTGTAGTCAAGCAAAAGATAAGTGAAAGAGAACTCAAAATTTGCTGTTCATTTCTCTTAATTCTTAGATGAGAACATTTTTCTTGCAGCACGAGAAGCAGTAGTATTTTTAAGTAGCTTTCAGTGCTTTGGACTGTCACTTCTATCAGACATTAGGTTGATCTTTCACTCTTTTTGCTGCTTGACAGAATTATGGAAGTAGATTGGGGGACTGGTCAGGTGCATAATCATGCCTAGGTTATCTAATAAATGCTTTTGCTTCAGTGGTTTCATGATGAATTTTATTTGTAAGTGTTTATTCATGCTCTGGATAAACTGCATCCTGCCACAGGCGTTGACTTTGATTGACCATAAACGTGGTTTACCTGAACGTGGGAAAGAAGGAAGAATTGCTTGGAAAACGTGGGATTATAGATCAAGCTGTCAAATCCTTCTCATGCTTGACCTCAAACTATTATTTGGTGAATTTCTTTAACTACCCTTTGGAGATCTTTGGCCTGTTTGTCAACTTGGTTTTCTTGGGCCAGGCGTTCACAATAATGCTCGTGTACGTCTGGAGCCGCAGGAATCCCTACGTCCGTATGAACTTCTTCGGGCTTCTCATCTTCCAAGCTCCGTTCCTACCTTGGGTACTGATGGGCTTTTCACTGCTTTTGGGGAACTCCATCATTGTGGATCTCCTAGGTAAGGAGCTGTAAGAATCACAAGGCTAATGAAACAAGAAGCATGGGAGGGAAAAAAAAAAAACAACAAGAAAAACAGCCCCAAAGGCTGATTGCCTCTTGTGGCTTACTGTTAGTTGGTCTCATGTGAAGGCAATGCATTTGTAGCAGGCGTTTCTGATTTCCAGACTCTAGCATATTTTGTGCTGTAACAAAAAGAGCTTCTGAGGCTTTGGCTCTTTCTTGCTTGAAATGTGCACAGATACACAGTCTGA